AAAAAAAAAAAAAATACAAAAATTAGCTGGGAGTGGTGGCGCATGCCTGTAGTCCTAGCTACTTGAGAGGCTGAGGCAGGAGAATCACTTGAACTGGGGAGGCAAAGGTTGCTATGAGCCAAGATCACGCCACTGCTCTTCAGTGTGAGACCCTGTCTAAAAAAAAACAAAAACAAAAAAAAGAAAAGAAAAAACTATGGATGTGAATATTTACCAAAAGTATGTTCAATGAATAATTTAAGCCAACCCAAGTTCATCAGCAGGGGCTTGGTGAAATAAGCATGGCACATCCACACAATGAGATGTTCAGCAGCCGTTATAAATCATGTCGTTGAAGAATATTTCATAGCATGAGAAAATCTTAAAGATACTGTATTCAGCCGGCTGAATACATGGCTGAGGGATGTCAACTGTAGAGGTGAGGACAATGGCTGCAAGTGTGCTGATGGCAGCAGGGATGGCTGCAGGCCTGATGGCTGTACGGTGATGGCTATAGAGAGGAGTAATGGTAACAGTGGTGATGGTCACAGGGGTGATGGTAATGGTAGTGATGGCAATGATGACCTTGACGATGTAAGTTGACCAGGAGCATTGATCCAACAGGCAGACAGATGGTTCAATTTCTGGTTTCTGGAGTCTGGTCAGTGAGATAAAGGGCTTGGGTAGGCCATATAATGTTGAGTTTGATTGTCCATCTCTGGGAAGATGGAGCAGAAGGACTGATGATGATTGACATGAGACAACAAAGTAGGGACTTTCTCTGACTGTTCAACCCAAGAGCCGTCTGCATTAGAATCTCTGGAGACTGAAGCTTGGACTTCCTTCCTCCCTAGGGGCCGGCAGGGGCTGCGATTGCTGTAAGAGCAAGTCACGTGGCAGGGCTTCCTGTATGCTGCTCCCGCCGGGTGTCCATGGCCCGCACCCCCAAGCTGCCACTGCAGCAGTCAGAGTGGCAGCTGAAGGCTCAGTTCATGCCGTGTCCCCGGGCAGTACTGGCAAGGCTGAGCAAGAGTCCTCTGCATCTTGACACCTAGGAGAGCAGAGACGGAGCCTCCCAGGGTGAAGGATCATGCTGCGCCGCAAGCCCTCCAATGCCAACGAGAAGGAGCCCACTCAGAAGAAAAAGGTGAGGAGCATCTTTGGGAACTCACATCTTCCTTTCCTCCTCTGCTCTCTTGACCCATCCCCTCCAAGACTCTTGGAAGTGGGAAGAGTCAAAGGCCATATCTGAGTCTGTAGGTGAGAGCCACTCACCTAGAGGGCAAAGGGACAGGGACCCAAAGGTTACAAGAGTAACCAATGTACAGAAGAGACACTTAAAATTCTGAAGCAACAGAGTTACAGAATAAATCCTTAGAAGTCTAGAGTCATGCAATTCAACCCTACAAGGATGGGAAAAAAGATCTAAAATTAGGGGCCAGAATCTTAGACCAGAATTTGAGAATGACAAAATACAATGCTCAGGCTGAACCCTAAGCCTATACTTAAATCTCTCTCCTCTACGCTGGTCCTGCCGCCACTTCTGCCCCAGCCATGGCCTCTCAGGAGCCATCTCACTCAAAGGGCCCCGCTGGGCTGCCCAGCTTGGAGCCATGATGCTTATAGGACCACCCCCCCACCCCCCGTCTCCACTTTGGCCGTGGCTCAGACCCTGCCCACTTGGCTCAGTTCTGTGGTAGCTCCCCAGCCCCACCCGAGATGGAGCCAACCTGGAGATGGGGCCTGAGGCCATTCCAGGCTTGGGGAAAAAGGAGTCCAGAAGTACAGTGGGATGCAGGGGGCATGCAGATTCTTCCTGGGTAGGGAATAAGAAATGAAGCTGAGGTGGTGAGTAGGAGTGAAGGCGGAGGAGCGAGGATTTTAAAGGCTGGGAGGAAAAGCAGCTGCCATAGATGGCTGAGGTGTTCATCCTCCTGGGGCAGAGGCTGGACTGGAAGATTCCCTGAAGCTCTGCCAGATTTAGGATTTTGTGGTTGGATTTGAGGATTTCCAGATTTCTTTGGTTGGATTTGAGGATTTCTAGACTTAATTCTTTAATTCGATTGAAGGATTCTCCCAGGCAATCAGCAAGCATATCCTGCACATCCAGTGTGATGCTAGGACGGTCCCAAAGCAGGCCCGAGCTAGGTCCAAGAGGCCCAGGCTATCCCCCCCCCCCAGCTTTCCCTGGAGCTCAGCCCAGATGACCTATGGCGAAGAGCCTTGCCAGGGGAGCAGTTCAGAGATGGAGGCCAAGGCAGCTGAAAGATTGAGACTCGGAGCACTGGGGTGTGCATCCTGCCCCAGTTCTCAGGCCACTTCCGGCTGTATTCTCCCCACCCCAGCTGCTTCTCTAAGGTTGCAGTGGTGGTGGGCGGGGGAGGGGGGAGGTTCATGAATCTTCATACTGGCTATGTCATCCTCATCCAAACCCTGCATGGCTCTTGGCCCAGCAGGCCTGCCATTGGCTGCCACTTTTAGGCGAGCAGGGCCACTTCCCCTTGCTCTCTGGCTGGTGGGGGTGAGAAACAGAGACTGCTCTATAGACACCGCTAGGCCCCAAACCACAGGGGCGCTGAGCTGGAGGATAATGTGAAAAAGAGCTGACACTCTGACAATGGGACCCTGTGCCACATCAGCAGGACGTGCCCAGGGGCACACAGAAGCCAGAAGTCCCCTTTTTCTTTCCCAGCTTCAATTACCCAAATTCTGTGTTTAGTAGGCAGGTGAGCCTCTGGCATTTCCCCAGGCCTCTCCCAGGAGAAGCAAGATAAGTGGCTCTCTGAGGCCCATGTCCTTTAGGGGGTCCTTTAGGGGAGCGTAGTCTGGGCAAACCCCACCCCAACCCCTGTCAGAGCTGATGCCAGACTCCAGAGCTGGGATGAGCTTGCCTCCACACATTCTGCTAGCCCCAGACTGTGGAAATGCCATCTGAAAAGCCAAGCTTCCAGAAGGCACAGAGAATCTTCCCCAGGCCCAGAGGCAGCAGGCCGGCTCCATCACTGCTAGTCCCTTCCTCTCGAAGACTGAGATAACATGGTGGAGAGGAAGGCAGAAAGGCAAGAGAGGCCTCTCTCTCCTGCCCTTTCTTCTCCTCCTGGGCCTGCCAATGGAGAATGTACCAGGCAGGGGTCAAGAAAGCTGAGCTGGAATCCTACCATGTTCTAGCTGTAGGACCTTGGACAGCTCATTGACTTCGTTTGGGCCTCAGTTTCCTTGCCTCTGTAAAGGAGGATAACTCTTCATCTGTCCCCTCAAGAGGTTGTAGAGCTCACCCAAAATAGATGTGAGAGTACCCTGTCGCATGTATGCGTGTGCACAAAAGGGGGTGCCTCCTGTAGGCATGGGTGGGGATGGGGAGATACTTCGAAAAAGAACGAGCCATAGCCCCAGTTCTGGCGCGGAGAACACAAGACCTAATAGCATTAAGAGCCACCACTGAGTGAGGGCTCATGGGATGCCAGGCACAGTGCTGTGCATCTCTTAGCTTGTTCACTCCCAATGACAACCTGGTGAGGTAGGGGCAGATATTGTCATTATCCCTATTTGACACCTAAGGCTCACAGAGGTGAAGCAACTTGCTGAAGGTCACACAGCTAGGAAGCTGCCGAGCAGGGATCCAAGCCAAGATTTGTCTGACTCCAGAGTCTTGATCCCTTCTCTCTCTCCACTCTCTTGACCCGCCTGTTGATCTCAAAGGCGCTAGAAGAGTCTGATGAGCATAAAAGACTCAACCCATCAGCAGGAGAGCTCCGTTGGGCAGACCCAGATAGCTGTGGAATGAGTGACCTTCTCAGCCACCTGAGCAGAGGAGTGGGAGGGCCCTCTAGAATGGTAGGGCCAGGACATGGCATCTCCCATGGATCATGAAGGATTGGAGAGGCCCCAGGGTTGGAAGACAGACCCCTTAGCTGCACTTTGGAGACTTTCACTTCCTTCGAGTTCTTGCTCTGCATGCCCTTTGATCTCATTTCATCCAAAGGCCAGTATTGAGGTATAGGAAGTGGAGAGGGGATTTTCCTGGACTTGCTTCCCCTAAGGAGGCTCCTACTCCACCACATTCCTTCTTTCTCCATCACTCCTTTCCTACGGCACACCTCTAGCATGACCCCCACGCCCCACCAGCATGCACTTTGTATTTTCAGTGGCTCCTCACTGCCCACGGGATACATGTCCTTGGCCTGGCTGGCAAGAGCCTTCCATAGCGTTTTCTACTCCACCATCCACCATCCCATCACCACACTCTCAATGTGTCTAACTTTCATTCCTGTTCAAACCCTTCGGAGCTCCGCCTGGAGAAATCCTGCCTCCCCTGCATGGCCCAGCTCAAATGCACCTCCTCCACAAAATCCCGTCTGAGCCCTTCCCCCTCTGCACTCTCACCTGTTTTCCTGGGAGCTCTGTTCAAAAACCACCTGCATGCAGTCAGCGCTGCAGTCAATCCACTGCTAACTTCTACACTGGTGAGGTGGAGCAACAGCATGAGCTCCGGGTTTGGATGCTTGCTCTTCCCCAGACCAGCTGTGTCATCCTGCCTAGGGCACTTCATGCTGCATCTTGGTGTCTGCATCGAAGTGTGAATACGATGCGAGGTTGTGATGAAGCTGGAGTGAGCTGGCACACATGAAGCACTTGGCAGGGTGTCGGGCATGCGGGAAGTGTTTTGCCCCTCATTACTGGAGTCACACACACACAGAGGCAGGGCCGGTACCCTGAAGGAGCAGAGGGTGTGGCTCAGGAGACCCCTGGGGAAAAAGCCAAGTTTGCTCAGGAAGCAAGAGAAAAGGATGCGGGCTGGGGCGGTGTGTACCTCTGAGGAGTTGATCGGGGCGTGGTTTCTATATGGATGCTGCCTTTTAAGCTGGAATTGGAAAATCTTTCTATAGAAGTATAGTATCCATACAGAGAAGTGGATAAATCATAATTGCGCCAGCCAATGAGTTTCAGTAATGTGAACACCCCATGTAGACAGCACCTAGATCAAGAAACAGAACACTCTCAGAAGTCTAGAAGCTTCCCTCATGTCCCTTCCAGTTACTACATGCCCCCTTTCCCCCAGGGCAATCACTGTCATGACTGCCAACAGCATAGGTGAACTCTGCCAGGCTCTGAACTTACAGGGGGAACCATATCGTGTATACATACTCTTTGGTGGCCAGCCCCTTTACTCAACCGTAAATTTGTGACACTCATTCATATTGTTGGGAACAGTTGTACTTTCTCATTCCTGGGTACTATTCTTTTGTGTGACTCTGCCACAATTAATTTACCCATTATACAGATGATGGGCATTTGCGATTTTTCCACTTAAATTGGAAGGGGGAGAAGCTACAGCCAACAGAGAGAAGGGCAGAGTATTCCAGCGGGGAAATGCCCAGGGTAAGAGGCTGGAGGTGGGTCGTAGGAAAGAGTAAACATAAACCGACATTCCGCGAGGGACTGCTGTGTCAGACAATGTTCCAAGAACTTATATGCGTACTAGCTCATTTCATCCTCACAACAGCCAGATGAGGTCGGTACTTTTGTCTTTAACTAAAGAGGAAACAGAAGCCTAGAGAAGTTAAGAAACATACCCAGCTTTATGCAGTCAGTTAGTGGCAGAACCAAGATGGGAACCCTTGCCCTGATGTGAAGTGAGCTTCAGAGAGGTTCGGTCACTTGCTGGAGGTCACACATCCCAGAGTTGAACTCGGCAACGTGAGAGTGCTGAGAAAGCTTGCCTCATGCCCATGCTCGGCAACGTGAGAGTACTGAGAAAGCTTGCCTCATGCCCATGCCATTCACTACACGCCCCCTTTCTCCCACGGTGACCACCGTCCTGACTGCCAACAGCATAGGTGAGCTCTGCCAGGCTTTGAACTGTAATTATACAGGGGGAACCATGTGGTGTATATATACTCTTTAGTGGCCTTACATTTCAAATATATTGTATATTAGATTTGAAATACATATTGAAATATACTCAACAATATATTTTCAATATATATTTCAAATGTAACATACAATATTGAAATATTGAGATATACTCAACAATATATTTCAATATAAATTTCAAATGTAATATACATTTGAAATGTAGCTCTTTCCAAGAGACCCACACATTCCCCTGAGCCATGAAGTGAAAAGGGGGCCAACAGTATATGGTACCACCTCCCCCGTCAGGCATGACTCCCAGGAAGTCCTCGCTCCGAAGGGAAGCCAGCAGAAAACCCAGCCAGGCTCAAAGATTTCAACTCAACCCTGAGTGGGGTCATCTGTCCCTGAAAGGCAGTCAAGATATTTGGGGCTGTCCCTGAGGTTAGAGGTAGGCTTGGCAAAATGCCACCCTAGAGGGTCCTGAGACTCAATCACCCAAAGAACACTGTGTTTGTCCTTTCCATCTCCCTGGGCTGAGAGTGGCCAACTGGACCCAAGCCCCAGCACCATCTCTGTAATCCTTTGTGATTATCTCCTCCCGCTTTGGACTAAAACTGGGACAGAGGGACCCTCACACAAGGCCTGGGAGCCAAAGGTCTCTCCTCCCAGCCCCCAGACTGCAGATTAATGACAGGAAAAGGCCTTGGGAAAGAGCTGCAATTAGAGGGCAGGCAGGCAGTGAGTTTACTCTTCTCCAACAAAGCCGACTTCCGGCCCTCCTGCTTGCTTTCCAGCCTCACCAGTCCCTAGGGTTTCAGGGGCGACTCTTAGCCTCCTGGTCTGCAGATTGGGCTGAGGGTTGGTGGAGAGAAGGCCACAATAGGCCCCATCGGCCTATAAATAGCAGCCCAGCCTGCCTTCCTTGGGCCCAGGCCAGCCTGATGCTCACCCTCTCTCTGTTCCCTCTTTTCCATGCAGTAAGAGGAGGAAGTTACCCAGGCAGCTGCATCCTAGCCATGTAAGAGGAGAAAATAAATGGAAGGTAGATAGAAAAGGAAGGAAAGGGAGAAAAAGAAAAAAGAATAGTGGGAGGAGACAACCAAGAAAGGAAGATGGAGAAGATGCAGAGGAACCCAAGTGGTCACCCCATGGTCATGCCTGCTCCCCACACCCACTTACAGCCTCCTTTTCAGCTCGCCAGGGCAATACAGAGGAGGCTTTCTGACTGAGGTTGCAGGCACCCCCTCATGAGGGCCTGATCGTGCTAGCATCTGCTTGGCCTGACCAGTGACCTAGTTTCTCATCAACTACTTCGCTGTGACTTTTAGGAATGTGTGACCCCTGACCCCCGATTGCTGACTTGGCTTTGGTCAAGACCCACCAAGAGTGCTAAACTGCTACACTGCAGTCCCCAGGAATTTGGCCCAATTATATGTGTGTTAGTGGGGAGCAGGTGATATTGCCCTTGCCCTGGGAGTTTGTCACTGGACACACAACCCCTTTATTAGGAAAGAGGATGTGAAACCTTCAGTGTTGTGTGGGTTTGGGGCTTCAGTTCCTCAAGCCCTTATCTTGGGTGTCTGCAGTCTATCCTATTTTATCTGTCTGGCCATCTGTGAACCCTGGTTCCTGTGTGTATCTTCTGGTCTCGACTGTTTATCTTGGTACAGGCTCAGCCTCAACCTCTTGTGTCGAGGGCCCGCCCCTGTTACCTGCCTTGCCCTGGTTTCTGGCTGCTATCTTGCTATGTGCATGCATATACATTTAAGAAAGCTTGGCCAGGCATGGTGGCTCACGCTTGTAATCCCAGCACTTTGGGAGGCCAAGGTGGGTGGATTCCCTGAGGTCACAAGTTGGAGGCCAGCCTGGGCAACATGGTGAAACCCTGTCTCTACTGAAAAAAAAAAAAAATTAGCCAGGTGTGGTGGCTCATGCCTATAATCCCAGCTACTCAGGAGGCCGAGGCAAGAGAATCCCTAGAGCCTGTGAGGCGGAAGTTGCAGTGTGCCAAGATTGTGCCATTTCACTCTGGCCCTAGTGACAGTGTGAGGCTTCGTCTCAAAAAAAAAAAAAAGCTCATATCCTAAAAACCACCTCATCAACACAAACCACAAATAATAGGTCATGCCTAAAAGTCCAAACACAGGCAAACGTCATGGTTGCCAGCTCACCACATCAGTGGCTAAGATTAAAAGCTGGGAAAAAAGAGAAAATGGTGTCTTTCTTCCACCAAATTAGCCCCAGTCACGTGTGTCCTAAATCTGTGGGCCTCTTCTGTGAGCAAGCCTCTACTGTGGTTTTCCAGAAAGTGTCATGCCAGGTCTTGCTGGCTTCTAGTCGGATTGTCTTACTCTTCTTGGGACACAAATTCATCAGGCTGGAGACCCCCGTGTGTTTGTTCCTATCACTGTGACTGGGGGCCTGGCTCCAAGCACACCCAAGACGTGGAGGCCAGAGCCATGGGTTTTGGGAGAGATTTGCTCAGTTACACACCTGGCGATGCACTTGTGCATACTGAGGTGTCTCTAGTGGTAGATACGCGTTTACTTGACTCTTGTAGTCTTTCGCTTCAGGATTCTGGAGACCAAACTTGAGGAACTGGTGGAATTTCAGGCTAAGTCTGAGGCACGATTGATCTGTGAAGCTCTTGAGGTCAGGAGCTTGGTCTGTGGCCAGGGCTGGGGTGAAGAATGGGATGAGGCCAAGGAGCTCCAAGAATATCGAGGACCATTACCCTGGGCTCTCAGGGTAATGTGGCTCTGCCAGCCTTGGGCTGTGGCTGTTGCATGGCAGGGTGGCGGGGGACGCGAGCATGTATGTAGGCCCTTGGAGAGCCATTTAGCTCACTGATTACAATGCCCATGATTTTTCCAGCTCTCCCTTCAGCGCTCCAGCAGCTTCAAGGATTTTGCCAAATCCAAACCCAGCTCCCCCGTGGTGAGCGAGAAGGAGTTTAATCTGGATGAGAACGTGAGTTTCAGGGTGTTCTTGGGGGATCTGGCTGCAGGCCCTGGGCAGGGGAGTGGGGGTGGGAGGGAGGAGGGTGAAGAGGAGATAGAATTGTTGGGGCAAAGTCCCCTTTAACACAGATGGCCCACCTCTCCCCATACTAAGAACTCCCCTGCATTCCTTTCAATTACAAATTAAATAGCAAACTATTTATCAATTTATAGGGCTGAGGACATGGCTGGAGCTAAGAGGGGAAGGGATGGGGGAATTTCAACTCCACCCCCTCCAGCTTCTGCTGTGACCAAAAGGCCTTGTGTGCCTCAAGTCCCGGACCCAGGCAGGACCACTAGGGTCCCTGGATCGCCTCTTTTATTGTCACAGATTCCAGAAGATGACTCAGGTGTCCCCACCCCAGAGGATGCTGGGAAGAGTGGCAAAAAGCTGGGGAAGAAGTGGAGGGCAGTGATTTCCCGAACCATGAACAGGAAGACAGGCAAGATGATGGTGAAGGCCCTGTCAGAAGAGATGGTGAGGCCTGGGGATGCAGGGGAGGGGGTGTCTGGGGGCCGGGGACAGCTCTGGCAGAATGTGAGCATAACTACCTCAATAGCCACTACTCAGACCCGAAGGTCCTATTCGATGCAAAAAGGAAGGTCACATGGGAAGGAAAACTCACTTGCAGCCTTGGACAGGCAGCCAGGAACAGTCTCGAGGTGGGAGGAGGCTGGCTGGGGAAGGGGTGGAGTTTCAGAAGGGATTCAAGTCTGGCCAACAGAGCTGGGCATGGTGGCTCATGCCTGTAAACCCAGCACTTTGGGAGGCTGGTGCCGATCATTTGAGGTCAGAAGTTTGAGACTAGCCCAGCCAACATGGCAAAACCCTATCTCTAGTAACATTACAAAGATTAGCCGGGTGCGGTGGCACATGCCTGTAATTCCAGCTACTCGGGAGACTGAGGCAGGAGAATCTGGGAGGCAGAGGTTGCAGTGAGCTGAGATTGCACCACTGCATTCCAGCCTGGGCAACAGAGCAAAACTGTCTNATCTGGGAGGCAGAGGTTGCAGTGAGCTGAGATTGCACCACTGCATTCCAGCCTGGGCAACAAAGCAAAACTGTCTCAAAAAAAAAAAAAGAGGAAGAAAAAAAGTCTGGGCAACAGATGCTTCTTGAGGAGACGGGCCTGGGACAGAGGCAGCTGGAAAAATGATGAGATGGCCTGAGGCAATCCATCCCTCAAAGCTTTGCTTTGGAACTAGCCCCTGGGATTGGGGAGGCCTAGGCCTATTTTCTCTCATAGGATCCTTATAAGAGAAAACAGGTTGGGCGTGGTGGCTCACACCTGTAATCCCAGCACTTTGGGAGGCCAAGGCGGGTGGATCACCTGAGGCCAGGAGTTCAAGACCAGCCTGGTCAACATGGCGAAACCCTGTCTCTACTAAAAATACAAAAAAATTAGCCAGGCACAGTGGCCGGTGCCTGTAATCCCAGCTACTTGGGAGGCTGACACAGGAGAATCACTTGAACCTGGGAGGTGGATGTTGCAGTGAGCCAAGATCGTGCCATTGCACTGCAGCCTGGGTGACAAGAGCAAAACTCCATCTCAAAAAGAGAGAGAGAGAGAGAGAGAAAACAGAGAAGACTATCTTCAGCCCAGGAAGGAAAGGTGGCACAGACAGCTGTGGGGCAGGCATGGCCCAAGCAGCTTAAATCACACAGTGAGTCTGGGGTGTCACGGCTCTAAAAGGCAGTGGTATGCTAGAGTTGGCGCGTACTGACTTATACCAGCTCACGAGAACAACTGGTCAAACTGTCAGGAATTTTGCAAGCCAGTTGTTAAACACAACCGTTATTAAAAATCAAATTATAGAACTTACAATTTGGTAAATAATTTTTTTGGGGGGAAAAAAAAAGGTACACTGGGTGTGGTGGTATACACCTGTAATCCCAGCTACTTGGGAGGACGAGGCAAGATGATTGCTCGAGCCCAGTAAGAGTACAGAGCCTGGGCAACATAGCAAGACCCTGTCTCTAAATAAGTAAATAAATAAATAAAAATAAAATTTTGTAAAAAAGAACAAAAATAACACAGCAAATCTTCAAAACTCATCACTTCCTAATTCTTGCACTACCTTTTACTCTTATCAGTGTTGTTGAGGTTACTTGCATCCATAGCAACTTCCTGGTGGAAATAGCATCGCCCTCATTTCAGACAACACATCCAGTGGCATCAAAATGGTAGCTTGGCATTGGCCGTGGTGGGGGGGTATTTACAACACAGGAACTGGCAACTCATCGGGGGGCCAGCTGTTAAACAGTTATCACCTCGCCAGGCACAGTGGCTCATGCCTGTAATCCCAGCACTTTGCGAGGCTGAGGCAGGCGGATCGCCTGAGATCAGGAGTTCGAGGCCAGCTTGGCTAGCATGGTGAAACCCTGTCTCTACTAAAAATACAAAAATTAGCCAGGCATGGTGGCGTGCGCCTGTAATCCCAGCTACCTGGGAGCCTGAGGCAGGAGAATCACTGGAACCCTAAAGGCAGATGCTGCAGTGAGCTGAGATTACGCCACTGCACTCCAGCCTGGGTGACAGAACAAAACTCCATCTCAAAAACAAACAAACAAACAAAAACAGTTATCACCTCACTGAGGTGTGGTGAGGTGGGGTAGCTCTGGAGTCTGGCCATCTTGTTTGTGGTTTCCCTTGGGCCTTGAACCTGAGTTCCTTTGGCCTGAGTTTACGAATGAGTACTAAGTAACACTTGGGCCTTACTCCTCATTTGTAAACTCAGGCCGACAATACCACTTACCCTCAGGTGTCACTGTGAGGACTCAGTGAAATGGCAGGCAGGCCTGGCACACAGAAGCACAGGCAAAAGTAGTTTCCTCCCCAGCGCCCCTGTCTACCCAACTATGTGGTAGCAATGGCTAGCCCAGGTTGTGCCACTGTTGTCTTTTCTGTATGTACATCGGCACTTGAGGCTGACAAAAGCACATCTACACGACACCCCAGTTGAACCTCATTATGTTTCAAGGTAAGCGGGGCAAGGACTGTCACTCTCATTTTTACAAAAGGCAGAACTAGGGCTCAGAGAGTGCCATTTAGCCTGTGAGTGGCAGAGCTGGGGTTTGAGGCAGCCCCCAGGTCTTCACCAAGCCCAGGCCCGTTTCCTTGGCTTCATGCACACCTCAGCGAGGCTCTTAGGGCTTGCCTCCTTCCCTCCCTGCAGGGAGACACTCCGGAGGAGGGCTCTGCCTCCCCGACATCTCCAGACTGCAGCCTGGACAGCCCTGGCCCTGAGAAGATGGCGCTGGCCTTTTCTGAGGAAGAGGAACGTGAACTTCCAGCACTCAGCTGCCAGGCGTCAACAGGTGAGTAAGGGATGCGGGGGACACCTGCTGAATCGAGAGGAAAGGACTGGGTTACAGCCTGTGCTGGTGGCGGGCTATCTGGGAGTGGGGTAAGATAAATGAATGCTTACTGTTTGCCTGCTGGGAACATTCCCAGCCCCCTTCACATTAAATCTTCTCAACAACCTCATGGGGCCAGTACTATTATCCCTGCTTTACTGATGTGGAAAGAGTCTTAGGGAGGTTAAGTGACTTGCCCAAGGTGACCCAGTCTTGAGCTCAGATGTACCATAGAGGAACTTTCACTTGCTGTCCCCAGGCCCTGGAGGGGCCCACAGGCAGAGGAAGTCTCAGTCACCCTCTTGGACCAGCCTGTCCCCACCCTTCCAAGGGGAGCTAGAGGTTACAGCTCCCTGGGCCTCTGATGCCCCAAGCTGGGGTGGCGTATGAGGTCTCCAGCTGTGAAGAGTCAGCCTCTTGACCCTAAACCATGGTTGCTGGGCTCAGGGCATCACTCGGTATCCTCTAGAGGTCCATGGGGCAGGACAAGAGGTGCCAGCAGGGAACTCCTCCAGGAAGGGGCTTTGGGTCCCGTAGCCCCACTCAGCATTGCCTTTCTCGGCCCTCAGGCCCATTCCAAGTTTCCTGCTCTTTGGCTCCACCGACACTTCCCTGCCCCCCACTGAAAATCATTCACAATGCCCACTACTCTGCTCTTCCCAAGGAGAAGGCGCCCAGCTGAGTTTCTATGTGACATTGTAACTAAACATTGAGTTATTAAGCAGGGAAAGTCAAATATTAATGCAGCAGGTAGCTTCCTGGGTGGAGGGAGCATTGGAGCGGGAGTCAGGGAACATGGAGTCTAATGGACTGACTCAGTGCTGCCAATTATAAAATGAGAGGCCTTGAGCAGTTCACTTGGTCTGTGTGACCTCAGATTTTCTCATCTGTTCATTGGGGTGTTGGCCCAGTTGGTCTCTGGAGGCCCTCCTAATTTGCCCATTCTTTGGTCAGTGAGCCGTTTCTCCTCCTGTTGTCAACTCTTTTCAAGACCGAGGCCCCAGAGGTGAAGCTGTGCTCCTGCAGGGTAGCCAAGGGGGTGGCTCAGAATCCCTTCTGCAGTGTAAGGCTTGCCAGAGCCCAGGTGCCTTCCCAGTGTATGCCCTTGGGATTTCTAGGCAGACCCCCTGGAAGGCACCTGCTAGGCACTGTCTCAGCTGTCCTGGGACAAAGGTGAGCCTCTTCCCTGCCCCATCTCCTGCAGGCAGTGAGCTCTGCAGCCCCAGCCCAGGCTCTGGCAGCTTCGGGGAGAAACCACCTGCCCCCGGGTACACAGGGCCCTTCTGTGGCCGGGCACGAGTCCACACCGACTTCACTCCCAGCCCCTATGACCACGACTCACTGAAACTGCAGGTAAGGTCAGCATCTGGGCTTCTCTGGAGCCTGGCAGGCTGCACCCAAAAAGGAAGCTGTACTGAACCAGACTATGACAGTGTCAGTGGAGTCCAAGACTCCCACCTCCTCTGTCCCCTGCTCCCTTCTCTCCTCTCCCCCCACAGAAAGGCGATGTGATCCAGATCATTGAAAAGCCACCTGTGGGCACGTGGCAGGGCCTACTCAATGGCAAGCTGGGCTCTTTCAAATTCATCTATGTGGATGTGCTGCCCGAGGAGGCCGTAGAGCCTGCCCGCCCCAGCCGCCGACAGAGCAAGGGCAAGAGACCCAAGCCTAAGACCCTGCATGAGCTGCTGGAGCGCATCGGCCTGGAGGTTTGAGCTTGGACCTCACTAGCACCTAGTATCAGGGAGGCACAATTGTCCCAGGGATGGGGATCAGGAAATGACAACTATGCGTAGTTGGGGAGGGCCTTGGCAAGGGCGGCTGGTAAGCAGCTGTGCCAGTGGCCTGCCTCTGCCCACAGGAGCACACATCCACCCTCTTGCTCAATGGCTACCAGACACTGGAGGACTTCAAAGAGCTGCGAGAAACACATCTCAATGAGCTCAACATCATGGACCCGCAGCACCGGGCCAAGCTGCTCACGGCCGCTGAGCTGCTGCTGGACTATGACAGTGAGTGGCTTTAGGAACAGCCTGGCAAGGGTGTGTGCCCGCCAGCATTCCAGGGAGGGGAGGCTTGCCCCGGTCCACACTCTGCCCTAGGACCGCACTTTCCACTTGAATTAGAATTTCAGGGAAGGTGTGTGGGAGAAAGGAGTTGCAGGGATGATTGGGCCCAACCCCTTTTGGGTCAAAGGGGACCCTAAGGCCAAAGAAGGCAAAGCCTTACTTGAGGCCTCAAAGCAGATAAATTACAGAGCCAGGATTCAGGCCCACTGCCTGGCTCCAGCTTAGTGGTGCTAAAGAAGTGTGAGCTCCTGGGCTGCAGAGCTGGCCTGGAAACAGCTCCCACCGACTTCTAAGCCGGAAGTGGTGAGGAGAGAGGAAGGTTGGTGGCAGGTGCCCACAGGGAGAGACTGCCTATGATGCACTTCTCAAGGTCCTTACCCCCACCCCCTTATTCTGTCTTCCTCTCTCCTTCCTGGCAGCTGGCAGCGAGGAGGCAGAAGAGGGCGCCGAGAGCAGCCAGGAGCCAGTGGCACACACAGTGTCCGACCCCAAGGTGGACATCCCTCGCGACTCTGGCTGCTATGAGGGCTCAGAGAGCGGGCGTGATGAGGCGGAGCTGGCAGGCACTGAGGAGCAGCTGCAGGGCCTCTCCCTGGCCGGGGCACCTTGAGGTGGTGTTAGCAATAGGCCAAGGCTGGGCTCCAGCTGCAAAGGCTGCAGGAGGGGGCCCAGCTGCCCATGGCGGCCCAGGCCCAGAGGACTGGCACTGAGCCTGGCCCTGCTTCCCCAGGGATGCTTAGGGCCGCAGAGGCCAGGCCAGGGCCCTGCAGGTTCTAGTCTCAGCTAGAGTGGCTGGGGAGTCACCCAAGGGCACATCCCACCTGCCTGAGCCCCACCCTCCACCAGCGACTGACAGCGCAGCCCCTCCTGGCACCAACTGCTCCCCCACCACGGCCACAGCCACAGCAAGCGGGGCACTGGGAGACCCTGCCCATGTCCCTCACCACCAAGGCCCCCAAATCCTCCTTGCCCCCACACCACCTACCCCTGTTGCACTGTTCCTGAAAAGGGGGCCAAGTCAACGTTTCAGGTCAGTCTCAAAACCCTGGGGAAGCTGGCCATTTAAGAGAACCCGAACTGACCATGGGTAAATCCAGTTTCCCTAAGTAAGGACTGAAGAAATTCACTGGTACCATACCCAGTTTCCTTCTCCTTGGCTTTCTTAGAGGTTTGACCACCAAATCCTATGAGACTTGAACCAAGTGGCTTCCTCTTTCTAGGCTTAGGACTGGTTGGGATTAAAACGGGTGATCACTGAAGGCCTTGCCGGCTCTGACATTCTGTGACATTAAACGTCTATTCTCCTGTCACCTGTGGCCCGGGACACCAGTGGGGCTTATCGAGGGGACCAGAGGGGCCTCGATCTTTCAAGTGAAATGGCTCCTTGTGCTCACCCACTTTATCCTTCCTCGTGTAACTCAGGACAGCTGCAACTTCCCCCAGCTTAAAACAATGCCCAAACCTCCTACGATATGCACCCTCCCCTTCCATCCCTGGAAGGGAAGGCTAATCGCAGGTGGTCAGGCCTGGTTTCCAAGGACAGAATTGCCTCTCAGAAGCCAGCTGAGGATCTGGGTCCAGAGTTGGCCACTTGTGTGGGTCCTCACGAGCAAAGAGAGCACTAAACTTAACATTGGGGGTCCACTACTCCAACTTTGCTTTCTGAAGGTTTTGGTGTACACTGAGCCCCAGGAGGAAAGGAGAGTATCTGTGAGTGGGGGCCTCCCTTGACCCCGGTACCAAGTCTGTGCCCTGAATCCCCAGAGTAACGCGTCCCTGGTGCCCAACCAGCCTGGGGGCAAACAGTGTCCACTACATCTAGAACTGCTGGCTAAGTGGACACATTTCTTGACCTCCTACCAGGAACTTTGGTAAAAGCTAGCTTTGGGGAAGGGGTTGGGTGTAAATATGAGGGTGGAGGGAGACCAGTTGGTAGCAATAAACATGGGTAGAACTAAACTACTGTCTCCGGTTATCTTTTCTATGGGGAGAGGGATGTGGGGAGGGGCGACCGGTCTCCTTCAAAGCTGGTATCAGCAAATTGTCCCTCATTGTCCTTTCAGGGCCATCTTTCCCTTCCCTTAAATGTTCACTGCCCTTGACTCTGCTGACCTAAAGCGCCAGTCTGAAACCCTAGCTGGCTCTGCCCTTCCCTCCAACTAGCCCTCCTCAGAACAAGTCTCAGGCTCCCATGGCACAGGCTTTGCTGAGGTCCAAGAGGCACAGGAAGGAATGGCTACTTCCCTCATCCAATAACTGTTCATTTTAACAGGACCCTTGAAAACCTTCACCCCTGTGAAGAAGGGCCCGCACTGGGGAGCTATCCAGGGTCTAAGAGGGGGAGATTTGGGGTCAACATGGCCTTTCCTCTGAGAGCACCTCTTCCTGGCCCCCACCCTGTGCCCACTAAAGCAGTAACATCTCTTGGGAGGTGGGATAGAGACAAAGACCCCCAGTTTCCTTTCTGTTTCTGCCAGAATTAACTGCATTGGGCATTAGGGAAGGGGGTTACTGGAGGGAGAGCTGCCACCAGAGTGAGGACAAGGCCACTCGATTTCCAGGGCTTGTTCTCAGCTGCGTTCATCCCACCGCCCTTAGTGACTGGGGATGCCAGGAAACTGCAAGCATGATCCTTACCAAAGATACAAGAGCCCTAACAGCCTCAAAGCCCCAATGGGCACTGAATAATTGCAGTCATTTAGGAAGCACATCCACTTGTGCCAGGCACTGGGCACTTTACATATAGCATCTCATGTCATCTTCACAGTGTCCCCCTGAGGCAGGCGCCCTCACCATCCCAGTTTACAGAGGAGGAGACTGAGGGTTGGGGAGGTTGAAGAAGTTGACTAGAAAGTAGCAGAGCAGGAGTCTGCCTGACTTCAGAGCCCATATTCTTAACTCCTATGCTACACTGCTTCTCCAAAGGCCTCGTCCAACAAGCATTCAAAGGTCCTGGGCACTTTGGAGGGCAAGCTGACCCTCTGACCCAGCCATTTCCCTTCTAGAATTTAATCAGCCACATAAGTGCAGAAACAGCCACATAAGTGCACAAAGACTTATGGACAAAGATATTCACAGCAGCTCTGTCTGTAGCAGTAAAAAATTGAAAGCAATGCAAATGGGGAATTAAATGCTTTATGGTTTGTTCATACACCACACAGCCATGACACATGATGTTGTAGAAAAAATATTTAATGACATAAGGAAAATCTTCGTGCTTTTTTACTCTTTGATTTTATTTATTTTTCTAGAGACAGGGTCTTGCTCTGTTGCCCAGGCTGCAGTACAGTGGCATGATCATGGCTCACTGCAGCCTCGAACTCCTGGGTTCAAGCGATTCTCCCACCTCAGCTTCCTAAGTTATCTGGGACTACAGGCATGTGCCACCACATCCACCTAATTTTCGTTTAGTTTTTGTAGAGACGGGGTGTCATTATGTCGCCCAGTTGCCCAGGCTGGTCTCAAACTCCTGGGCTCAAGCGATCCTGCTACCTCAGCCTCCCAAAGTGGTGAGATTACAGGTGTGAGCCACTGCACCCAGCCTTCTTTAATTTTAAATTTGAAAATTACACAAATAGTGTATAAACATTTTAGTTGTAAAACAAATTTGCATTATAGCAAGGGGAAAAGCAAATCCTAAAACATTATTAATAGGATGACTCCATTTTTATTTTAGAGGAGGAGAACACATACATAGAATAAAGACTATGAAGATCCGTACCAAATGACTACTACTGGTGATCTTGTGAGGGCCATGGGATGGGACTAGGGGAGTGAAGGAAAAAAATGCTAACTGTCTACATTCTTATTTTATTTGCATTTCAAAAGTATTATTTTTATGTCTATAAAAAAAGGAAACTGCATTTCAATTTTTAAAAAATAAAACTAAATTAACAAATAAATAGGGACCATGCCTCTGGCCTCCAATATGGGACAGCAGCAACAAAATCATTATCCTGCTGCCTTTTGACACCAGTTCTGGAAGGATGAGAGGTGAATAATGCCCAAAGTGCTCAAAATCCATACATACCAGGGTGTGCCTATCAGAAGAGATTCCTAAACCTTTTTTTTTGGGGGGGGACAGAGTTTCGCTCTTGTTACCCAGGCTGGAGTGCAATGGCGCGATCTCGGCTCACCGCAACCTCCGCCTCCTGGGTTCAGGCGATTCTCCTGCCTCAGCTTCCTGAGTAGCTGGGATTACAGGCACGCGCCACCATGCCCGGCTAATGTTTTGTATTTTTAGTAGAGACGGGGTTTCACCGTGTTGACCAGGATGGTCTCGATCTCTTGACCTCGTGATCCACCCGCCTCGGCCTCCCAAAGTGCTGGGATTACAGGCTTGAGCCACCGCGCCCGGCCGATTCCTAAACCTTTTAAAACTCCTATGTAATCACTATTGCTCTAAGCTGGGGAAAGGAAAATATCAGAAAGAGAGGAATGCCTGGGAACATGATGTTTGGAAATCCTCCCCTTCCCTGGGCAGAGGCAGCTCAGGGGTGGGGGTGTGTCTCGGAAATCAGGCGCAGTTTGGTGTATAGGATGATTACAGGCTTGAGGTAGGTCCTTAGCTGTGCAAGGACCACAAGGATCACAGGATTTTGGGAGGGGCAGGTGAGGCGGGGCATCAAGGGAATGTAGAACAGGCCAGGGCCCAAGGGGCAAGAAAGGCAGTGCTGAGCAGGGCCACAGGGCCCAAAGCTCCTCCTCCAGGCAGGGCTGCTGGCACCTCTTGTCCTGACCCATGCACTTCTAGAAGATGCCAAGTGGTGCCCTGAACCCAGCAACCAAGGTCTAGGGTACAAGAGGCTAACCCTACACAGCTGGAGACCATATACACCCACCCCAGCCTGGGAGGTCAGTGGCTCAGGGAGCTGTAGCCTCTAGCTCACTCCCCTTGGAAGGTGGGGGACAGGCTGGTCTAAGAGGTTGATGAGGCAGGCTCTTCCTCTGCCCATGGGCCTCTCCAGGGCCTAGGGGAAGCCAATAGCAGCTTCTCTTGGGTAGGTAAGCCCTAGCACTTAGCAGCTTCAGGACTACCTTAGTTCAAGTCTTGGCTGTGTCACTTCCTAGCTGGGTCACCTTAGACAAGCCACATAACCTCCTTGAGCCTCCATTCCCACAACAATAACGTAGGAATACTAGCATTAGCCCCATGGGGCTGTTATGAAGTTTTAATGTACTAGCGTAAAGTACTTTGCACAGTGTCCAGCACAAAATACATGCTCAAGGAGTGATAGTGTGTCTGGCTGCCTTGATTTGCTCCATTCTGCTACCTCCATTTCACTCCTTTCAAGGCCCATCTGACCTTTGACCCCCAGTGAGTACAATGGAGTGACCAAGAGCAAAAAGCCTTGGAGTTCAACTAAAGTGTTTTCAAACTCTTGCTATACCACTTACTAGTTATATGACATTAGGTAAATTACATACATATACATTTCTTTTCTGTGGAACAGGAATAATGATCTAATAATGCCTACCTCTTGGGGGTCATGAGAGAAATCAATCAGATAACTCGTACAAAGTTCCTAGCACATAGTGACGTTAAATGGCAGCTACTTGACTTTTTTTGTAACTTTCAGGGTACTGAGCTTAATACTGGGCACAAAGCCCATGTTGTCTGAAGACTGACTGATGTTCGGACCTGTCATATCCCAGAGACCACTGATGTCCAACACCAGGAGGTGTTGGGATTAAGGGATACAGCGTGCCAGCTCTGGTGCCCAGAGAGGCTGGTGATGAAAAAAGACCACCTGAGGAGCCTGGGGCAGCCCTGGCTCTGCCCAATCCACAGCAAGATAATCGGCCCCTGGCATTAGACTTCCTTTAGGGAACTCACTTGGACATCTAGGGGTTGGTAGAAAGAAGAGAATAAAGACCAGATTTCAGAAGAAAGAGTTGAACCTAGCCAGCTCCTCACCAGTTCAGAGTTAGAGCTACCTTCTTCCTATCAGGAGAAGCAGCTGGAGGCACTGGTACAGTCCGGCTGAACCATGTCCTCTCTCACCTGCTGCCTCAGTATCTCACAGCCTCACCTTAGACCACTCAAGCAGGTTTTGATCAGCCCCCCAAAGGCCTCCGCAAATTCCCTCTCCTAAATCCCAAACCCTACGGCACTGTGATCTGACACATGGCACTGAGGCCCCAGTCCCTATGAGTCAGCTTCTAATTTCTTACTCACAGAGCTCCCCACCCACGGGTGGGCCATGAGAGACCAAGGACATTAAAACAAAAGCTAAACGAGGTTTCTTACGGGAAAAACAGGCACTGATCACCATCGTCTCAACAAGGCCCAACACCTTCCCCCCTCCCAAGTCAGGAAATTCAGGAAAAGGTATGAGGTTTCCCACTAGGGAAAAGAAGTGGCTCTCCCACCTCTCCTTCACAATAGAGGCTGCCATAGCTTCTCACACAACCTGGACCATATTACATATTATTCAGCCAACAACACAATCAAGTGGGAAGGAACTGCCTCCCCTCTAGACTCAGCCAAGACTCCTCCTCCAGGAAGGATCTAAATAAATGGAATTCTATAGCACTTGATATGTAGGCTTCACCTTTTCCTATAACTTCACAGTGACCAATATAGCATTTGTATACCATTGCCTCTGGGACCTGCCAGGGATAGCGTCAGAAAGAGCCCAGAGCAATGGCCCTCACAAAGGGACAGCCAATTTGACTGTGGGAACCTAGCAAGGCAACTTCCTGACTTTCTGTGCTAAAGAAACACCATCAGTTCAACCTAAATGCAGGGGTCTGGAGAGAGACTTAAGAGAGTTCAGTTTAAAACAAAAACCCAACAACCATTCTCATATCAGCCCGACTATGTATAGTCAGTCCTCTGTATGCTGAAAATGGAGAGCTTATCAGTACTATTCATTCAAAATGGCAAATAATCCAAAAAAATCACTGCTGTTCCTCAGCTTACGAGGGTTGGTAATGCAATTTCTCCTGAAGTTAAC